CAGATTCGAATCCATTAGAATGACGACTACAACCAAAAAACAGCCAGGCGTTGTGGCAGGTGCCTGTAATCCCAGCTACTTGGGAGGCAGAGGCAGGAGACTCGCTTGAGCCCAGAAGTTGGAGGTAGAGTGATGCCACAGCACTCTACCCAGGTGACAGCTTGAGGCTCTGTCTCAAAAAAATAAAATAAAATAAAATATAAAAAAATAAATAAATAAAAATGCTGAAGAACTAAGCATGGAATTAAAAAAATACTATCTAATCTTCCTTCAGTGAGGAGACAAAAGACTCAACTGGCCCAAGTCCAAAACATCAGTGCCATTTGCCTATAGGACCTGAGGGTAGAAGGAGAATATGAAATCCTTTCTTTTTTTCAAATTTTTTTAAATTTTTTTTTTTTTTTTTTTTGGAGAGGAGCCTCAAGCTGTCCCCCTGGGTAGAGTGCGGTGGCATCTCAGCTCACAGCAACCTCCCACTCCTGGGCTCAAGCGAGTCTCCTGCCTCAGTCTCCCAAGTAGCTGGGACCACAGGCGCCCGCCCCAACGCCTGGCTATTTTTTGGTTGCAGCTGTCATTGTTGTTTGGCTGGCCCAGGCCAGATTCGAACTGGCCACCTTGGGTGTACGTGGCTGGCGCCTTAGCCACTTGAGCCACAGGTGCCGAGCCTGAAATCCTTTCTGAAAAATATCAGTCACCCACAAATCCTGACAGTACAGATCCTTGAAATGTGAGGCAAATATCAAGATCTATGCAGAGCTAAGAGGATCAGAGGACCAGGAAGAAATAGTGGACCCAGTAGAAGAGCAGCAGCTCAAGCCTAGAAACTGAGGTCCTAGGGGGTAGGGCTCGTCCAGTCCCACAGCTAACAGGGGCTGAGAAGCCTTCTGTGGGTGCAGGCCAGCAGGAGCATAGCTAATCCTTCAGGCTTATGTCCAAGGCCTTCTGAATTCTGCCCCCCACCTGCTTCTCCAGCTCCTACCACGTCACCTACAGTACTCTACGCTGGAGTGACACTAAGCTGCTCCTATTCCATCCTTGAACTTACTGCATGCCTTGTTTATTTATTTTTTTCTTAGCTGTCTCTACTGTCTGGAATGTAGGATCCATGAATCTCTGCCTAGTAAACACATCCTCATCCTTTAAACCCCATTTCAGAACTCACAACCTCTCTGAAGTCTTCCTCCATCCTCACCCTTCTTCCTCCCTTCAAGAACAAATCCTTCCTGCTGTGACTTCACAGCGCTATTCACGTTCTTTTCCTGTTATGTATATAAAATATGACTGTATTACGACTTAACGTAATTATCAGTTATCAGTTCATCTCTCACCAACTTTGACATCCTACGAGGCAGGAACCTTATTTTCACTTATGTCCCCTGGTGACCAGCACAGGGCCTGCTGTGGATAAGGGCTTTTCTTCTTTTTCCTAGGGATGGCCCTGGCACCCTGTACCACATTAAGGATAACCATGAGCTGGGAGACCAGAAAGACCATATTTTGCTGTGTAAGATCAAGAAATTTCCTCTACTTAGAGAAGAATCCTGAAAAATAAATGTTTATATTGAAGTAATCCCCAGAGTTCTGTTTTAAATTAGCTATGAAAAACCAGAACCTAGTGGCCAGGTTAAAGCAATATTCATACTAAAAATAAAAGTTCTTAAAAGCAATGAACTTTAATTGGATAGAAGAAGAGTTCACATTTCAACAAAAAAAGATCCAGTTGGTTAAGTATGACCAAAGTCAACAAATGTGAACACCCAAGCGTTCAAAGAAATAACAGAAACTAGTAGCTAGAGTTGGCCTTGGCCTTCCCAAGTTCTCAGGTTCTAATGGAGCTTACTGGGACCAAACCTTGCTTAAAATCATATACCAGACCTTGAAAAGCACTACCTGATTTAATGGGATTTGTTATAATAAACTTGAAGGCTTTGAAAAGAAATTGAGTATGTGAGAAAGTATTTAAATGCAAAAAAGTGAAAGCAGAGTATAAAAGATGTTCCTTCTGCCCCATAAAGGAACTTTTAAAACTTACATGCTCAAGGCTTGGTGCCTGAAGCTCAGCAGCTAGGGTGCTAGCCATATACAGCAAATCCAGCCTGGGCCTGCCAAACAACAATGACGACTACAACCAAAAAATAGCCAGGTGTTGTGGGAGGCACCGGTAGTCCCAGCTACTTGGGAGGCTGAGGCAAGAGAATTGCTTAAGCCCAAGAGTTTGAGGCTGTGACACCACAGCACTCTACCCAGGGTGACAGCTTGAGACTCTACCTCAAAACAAACAAACAAACAAACAAACAAACAAACAAACAAAAGAACTTGTATGCTTAAGTAGGGATTGGACTGCAGAAAAAATAATAAAAAAAAAATAAAACTTACTTGCAGACACATTAGATATTTGGCTAAACCAATCAACGAGAATTTCATGATGTGTGAAAAAAAAATCTGTTCCTTTTATCTTTACTCTTCTGTTTACTTTTTGGAGCATTGCTCAGAACTATTGGAGAAAAAGAATCAGTGACCGAGGCATAAATAACTTACAAGTAATGCCAAATGAAGTGTGTTTTGGAGAGATGCAGAGGACAAAGCTTATCGTCTCAGACATGGGGCCTGGTCATCTGAGCTGGCAGGCTGTGGTTCCAAGGATACAATAGAGAGTGGGGTTGGGGAGGAGGTGGACACTTCACCCACAGCTAACACCTCCTGAGGCAGGACCCTGGACAGGGAGGCCTTGCCACTCGGGACCCCTTGGTAATTGTTCCTGGCTTCTGCTGCACTCCTGCGTGCATTTGGCTCTTCTGAAGTGGGGAAGGCTAAGTCGAAGTCCAGTACCCTCCAATTTCCTCAATTTTCGGTGTAGATTTTTCTGGCGGGGGCAGGCCTTAACCACTCAAATCTTCGAGTCAGTGGCCAGGCAGGAAGAGAAAGAGCAACTTTCAAATCTCTAGAATGGCAGCCTGGTCCAGCTGCCTGGGTGGGATGAGGTTATAATAAAAGACCACTTCCAATAGAAGCTTGGTTTCCCCACTGGGTCCTTGGGTCTCAGTTTTCTTTTTCTTTTTCTTTCTTTTTTTTTTTTTTTTTGAGACAGAGTCTTACTATGTTGCCCTCGGTAGAGTGCTGTGGCATCACAGCTCTCAGCAACCTCTAACTCCTGGGCTTAAGCGATTCTCTTGCCACAGCCTCCCAAGTAGCTGGGACTACAGGCACCTGCCATAATGCTCGGCTATTTTTTGGTTGTAGTTGTCATTGTTGTTTGGCAGGCTGGGCTGGATTCAAACCCGTCAGCTCCAGTGTATGTGGCTGGTACCCTAGCAGCTGAACTATAGGTACTGAGCCAGTCTCAGTTTTCTTTGTGTGTATGTGTGTATTCTGGGTTAGCAAAAACCTCACAGAATTCAACCACAAAGAAACCTCAGTCAATTTTTTTTAAGATTGTGGAGAAATGGACAAATGATGTCAAAAGGAGATGATGTCAAGAGTGCCATGTTTTAAAAATCACATAAAACTTCCAGCTCTATAATAAGATGAGTACTTCTCAGGGGTGCCCCAGAGGCAATGCAAAGCTTCTATCAGAGATGATGTGTATCTGCAGCCAGGCCAAGAAAATCATGGCCTTCAGAACAATTTCGGTCAGATTAAAAGAGGTGCTGGTCAATCAAAACGTTCTAATTATGTGCTGTTAACAGAGCTAACTGAGAAAGGCTAACGGGACAAATCCATGGGGAGATGGTAAGGATGTCCTGTGGATGATGACAGGTGGGGAGGGACCTGA